AAGGTACAGATCAGGCCATTACTTCAAAGGGTGCAAGCCCCGAGGCTTTGCAGCTTCCATGTGGTATTGATTCTATGAGTGCAAAAAGGCCAAGAATTGAGGTTTGGAAACTTCTGCTTAGATTTCAGAGGATGTGTGGAAACGTCTGGATGTCCAGGCAAAAGTCTGCTGCAGGAACAGAGCCCTCATGGAGAACCTCTACTAGGGCAGTGCAGAGGGGAAACATGGGGTGGGAACCCCCAACCCCCAGCATCCCAAATGGGGCTCTGCCTAGTGGAGCTGTGAGAAGAGGGCCACCATCCTCCAGGCCCCAGAATGTTAGATCCACCAACACTTTGCACTGTGCACCTGGAAAAGTTGCAGGCAGTCAACACCAGCTCCTGAAAGCAGTTATGGGGGCTCTACCCTGTAGAACCACAGGGGTAGAGCTGCCCAGGGTCTTGGTAATGAATGAGTTCTCACGTGATATGATTGTTTAAAAGTGTGTTGCACTTCCCCCTTCATTCTCTTCCTCCTGTGCCACCATGTGTAGAAGGTACTTGCTTCCCCTTCACACTTCCACCATGATTATAAGTTTCCTGAGGCCTCCTCAACTGTGTTTCCTGTACAGCCTGCAGAACTGTGAGTCAGTTAAACCTTTTTTTTTTTTTTTCATAAATCACCCAATCTCAGGTAGTTCTTTATAGCAGTGTGAGAATGGACTAATACATTGTCCTATGTTACCTCTTTCTTGAATAACCAGACATTTTACTTTAGGACAAGAATTTACTATGCAAGATTTCTCCCTCATATAAAATTACTCTTTTTTATATCCTTCTTTGCAAAACAGAGAGAAAACATTTCTATCCATAACATTCTTTATGTCTCTCTTTTCTACTTAATGGTTTCCTCATATTTTGAACTTCCCTTTTAATAACTTCCAAATTAAACAAAAAATGTTTTCCCAATAAAAAATACATTTCTTTAGCACATTTTATGTAAACCTGGCAAGAAATCCTGAACTGCCTACCAGACATTAGAATTTTATAGATGAGGACCATTTTATCATTTTTAGATTTTATACCATACAATAAGCTCAATCCTATTCTATTCTATTCTATTCTATCTATTCTCATGCCATTTAAAACGTTTTAAAGCCTATGAACATAAATAATTTGCCTAGGAAAGGGTTGCCAAAGGGGAGACCTCAGAGGCCCTGACTTGCTGGAGAACCTACCTGGTAGTGGAGACACTGAGAAAAAAGGTAGCCACTTGTCAGCTGCTGTAGGTGTCTGTTCATTTGAGGTCAGAAGCCTGTGAACTCCCAGTTCCTTTGACCAAGAGGGACAGTTACAAGCAAAGCAGTTATAAGACAGCTCCCAAGAAGGGGCTTGCAACTGGCTATTAGGAAAATAATACTTTTAACTTTAGGACACAAAAGGGCAAGACTAATATTCCCCTAGGGAGAGGGGCTATAACCCATAGTCCTAAAGGGAATGTTAATGCCAGAAACCCCAGAGCATCTGGGGTGCAGTCTAGAATACCAATGCTGAAAACCCAGAGTGCCTGCATTTCAGCCAGTGAAGGTCCCCTCACTAATGCCGAAAAACCTGGCGTACCCAGGGTGCAACCAGCAGTGTCCCACGATCAAGTTGAGGTCACAGAATGTGACTCTGGTGTCCCACAGTCAACACACTGGGGGAACCTCTCACAACTAAGTGTCCCACCTTAAACAGTTGCCCACATACAGTTAACAGAAAGTTAAAAGCAAACAATAAGACTGCATACATTTTAGGATTGAAAATGGAATGACTGGTGGAATAATAAAATAGAAGGGCGAGAACCAGTGGAAGAAGTGCTTAGGATATGTTTCAGGGCACACTAATGATGGGGGCTTTTAACTGACCACTTAGCCAAAGGCTTTTGTTCCCTAGCTTACCTGATATTATGGGGGGTGGTAGAGGGGACACACCCATCCACAGAAGCCAAAATGTGACCAGTCTTCCCCATAGGACTTGGGCGAAGGTCCCTCCAGGTTCCCTCATCTAGAGTGGGCTCAGCTGCTGCAGTGGGAGGAGCTTGCACAGGGACTGGTGACCTACTGGTCTGCCTGTCAGAGCAGTGGGTCCCATATGAGGCAGTGGCACTATAGCCACTTTCTCATCTGCTCAGCTGTGCTGTCTGCCAGGAAAAATTGTGGCTCTCAAAAGAGCCTTTGATTAGTGTTAGAGCTGCTCAGGCATTACAGCTCTGCTTAGTTACCTCTCTGCTCATCTCACACGCTGCCATCTCTCGCTGTCTTGTTAACTGCTGTCTCTTGTCCCTTGCTGTTTTCTCACTGCTTCTCTGACTGCCATCTCTCATTGGCTCTTGCCAATCACCTTCTCTCCATCTCTGCTGTTGCATCATCTTGCCTCTCTTCCTCTCACCACCATCTCTGCTTTCTTCATCCCTTCGCGGTTACCAGATGTTTCAGGACAGAGAAGCCCCCAGCTTAGCCCAGGAGGGTTCTTGGCTTCACCTAGGAAACAATTCAAGGGTGAGCTGGTAGTGTTAAACAGCAACTTTTATTGAAGTGGCTTTATACAGCAGCAGCAGAAGTACTGCTCCTTGTAGAACAGGGCTACCCGACAGGCAGGGTGCCTAGAGTAGCAGCTCAGAGGCAGTTCTGCATATTTATACCCGCTTTTAATTATATGCAAATTTAAGGGGTGGTTTATGCAGAAATTTCTAGGAAAATGGTGTTAACTTCCAGGTTGTTGGATCCTTGTCATGGAAAGGAGTGGTAACTTCTAGGTGTTGTCATGGCAATGCTAAATTGACAAGGCATGCTGGTGGGCGTGTCTTATGGAAACTGCTCCTGGCCTGTTTTATCTAGTCATCCATATGGTTCAGTGTCTGAGCCCTGCCTGCAGAATCAATCAAGTTCTGTCTCCTTCCTTATATTCAAACTAGATTTTTGTTATCTAGTTGAAAAAATTAAATTAGTGGTAATACTAGCTCTTTTATCTTTTTCTGCCATGTGTTGTTTTAAATAGCTGTAGACTTCATTTAGTAAATCAACTTGTTCTGTAAAGCACTCTAAGATGGAAGTTGGGTGGGGACCAAATTGCTGTCTTCCTAAAAGGGGGTTTGGAAATGACTCTACTTCCTTTGAAGAAAAAAGAAATAGTCCCAGAAGTTGTGAATATTTCATGTTAGTGCTCAAAAGCATGCTCTTATATAGCAAATATATACTAAATGAGACTTATATTGTTTACCAGAGTTTGCTATCTAATAGATTTTGTACACTTCTCAAGATAGTGTTAATGAATACATCAAAACTTTGTTTTAGACATGATTCAATAATGGAATAAATGTCTGTGTATTCATTATTCAGTTTAAGAGGGAAAAAAGTCACAAGATTGTGTGCCCTTCCCCAGTATTCCTTCTCTTGTCTTCAGATATAATCACTATCTTGAATTTAGTGGTTTTTTGTTTAGTTTTAGAGTTTTTCAATAAGTATAAACAATAAATATTATATGGCATAGTTTAATATAAATGATATTCTTGCCATAAGTAACATTTTATTCAACATTGTTTTTGAGATTCGTTCTTTGTTTCCACTGCTCTGTTTATAGTGACTACTACAGTTTATCTGTTCCTCATTTAATGGATGTTTAGGTTATTATTTTTGGTATTAAAAGCAATGCTCTAATGAACATTCTTATCATATCTTTTGGACACGTGAGTGTTTTCACTTAGATTTATACATGGGGTGTATTTAGGGATTATGCACATCTTAATATTGTTACATTTTAAACCTTTTAGCAGTCTGATAGATTTCTCTTGGCTCAACAGACATTTCACACGTGGCCACAGACTATCCCACTTTAAATTCCATTAGATTTGTATAATGTATCTCAGCATGCCCCAACCCCCAGGCCACAGACCAGCACCAGTCCATGGCCTGTTAGGAAACAGGCTGCACGACAGGTGGTGAGTGGTGGGTAAGCAAGCATTATCGCCTGAATTCTGCCTCCTGTCATATCAGTGGTGGCGTTAGAATCTTATAGGAGTGTGAACTCTATTGTGAACTGCACATGTGAGGGATCTAGGTTGTGCATTCCTTATGAGAATCTAATGCCTTATGATCTAAGGTGGAACAGTTTCATCCCAAAATTATCTCCCTACCCCGTCCATGGGAAAATTGTTTTCCATGAAACTAGCCACTGGTTTCAGAAAGATTGTAGACCTCTGATTTATATGATATCTCAGGCTTTCATTTGGATTCCATGATTATTACTGAATTGTATATCTTTTTGTGGATTTATTGATTTTATTCTTTGCTTCCCACCCACCCCATCCCCTTATTTGATTTGTTGATACTCTTTATACTTGATAATAGTTTGTTGACTGAATGTATTGCAGATACTGCTCTCAGTGTGTGACTTATTCTTCCGTGTCATTTATGGTTAGCCTAGCCAAATGTATCAGCTTTTAAAAATGATATATGCATTCTGCATCTTGTTAACATGATTTATAAAGATTTTTAAATTTTCTTCTAAAATGTAAAGTCTTGTTTTTTCACATTTAGATTTTTTAATGTGCCTTAAAATTTTTGTGTACACAGTGTTTCTTTTTAAGGATTTTGTGGAAATAAAACATCTAAAATTATCTAGATTCCTTTAATGGATGTATTATCTTAACTTATATTTTAAGGTGGATGCATGGCAAGTATACAATTTATTCATTTGTATAGACTATGTATGAGTAATTGTAATTATTTTTTTTAACGACCTATGCTTATATCACTAACAAGTGAAGGAACACATCCTAAATAGAATGTTTTAATTATCTCAAGAGAAATTCAACCTTTCAGTAAACCAAAACTTTTCTTTTTATCTTTTTTATTTTTTCAAAATATAATCATTCATTATAAATTGGAACTTTAATTTGACAGAAACATTTGTATTTATTTCTAAAATTTATTTGTATTATTTGAAAGTTGAAGTCTTCTTATTTTTTGGTGTTTCTTTCAGAGCTCTGATTATACAAAACCAGGAGACATTGACCCTACATCTGTAACAAGTCCCAAAGATCCGGAAGATATACCAACATTTGATGAATGGAAGAAGAAAGTTATGGAAGTAGAAAAAGAAAAAAGTAAGGAAGTATTTGAGTTCTTTAAACATTTTCTTTTTTTTTTTTTAAGTTTATGGTGTAGTTTTAATATGCTTTCTTTTTTTGATTGGTAAAACAAAATAAAACTTACTTTTGAAAACTTTTTAAAGGTGAAACTTACCAAGTTGCTGTTGATCCATCCATATATCATGTACTTGTATATAATTACATACAGTTCTAGTTTTAATTGAAATCCATTCTTGTAAATTATTAAGCGAGCATAAAATAAGGCATAGCAGTGATTTCCATCACAGTTAATACAAGGAAAATTGAGGCATGAAAGCTATTTTAAAATTCATGTGGAACTCAAAAAGAACTTGCATAAAATCCTTGAGTTTAAAATATTCTTTAACTTACCAAAAGATGTTTTACATATGGTGTTTCAAGAACATACCTAAAGAAAAGCTTGCTTATGTTATGAGGGAGAGGAGGGTGACTAAAATTATAGTTAATTTATTTCCTGTGTGATGGGTTGTTAGGTGCAGCACACCACCGTGGCACATGTTTACCTATGTAACAAACCTGCACGTCTTGCGTGTGTACCCCAGAGCGTAAAAAAATAATAATAATTTAAAAAATACATCCTTAATAGATGTTTATAATAGATGTAAATACGGAAAGCTTTGATTCTCATGGACAAGCTTCATTTTGTGAGTTATATTACTTAGACATAAATTAATGTAGAATTTTGTAGTTAATTTGTTTCTGGGGGATATTTTAAAGCTGTTGAGGTGGAGCACTTTGATTTTTTTGTAAATTTTTAAAATATTCTCTCAAGTGTTAAAACCTATTCTTTTCTAGAAGACAGCTTATTGCTTTTGAGATCAGTGTTGCTAGAGGTATTTTCAGTCATAATCAAATATATGTATATTTATAATAAGGTTTGTCTGCAGGTCAGTCAATGCATCCATCTTCTAATGGAGGTTCACATGCCACCAAAAAGGTCCAGAAAAATCGAAATAATTATGCCTCAGTAGAATGCGGTGCCAAAATTCTAGCAGCTAATCCAGAAGCCAAGGTAGGTACTTAAGTATAAAATTTTATATATATAGGAAATTAACAACTTTTAAAAATATAGGCATTTGTTTACTGGGAACTATATTTTAATGTGAGATATTTTCCTTATTCCCTAACAAAAGCAGAATATGCTTTTCAAAACATTATCTTGTATGAATTCTTATTTATATTCACTGATATATTTTACCCTGCATTTTTTAACTTTTAAAAACCGTATGAAATTTTAAAAAGGAACTAACTAAAATATTATTTTTTTTCTTTAAAGTAACAGACATTGAATTTTAAATGTACTGTCGTGACACTAATTTAATGCTGTAGCCATGAATGGTGAATCTTAGCTACTTTTATGCTTTTTTCCCAAGTGAGTGTTTTAAAGTCTTAGGTGTACTTAAGATCTAAAAATACAGAAGTCCTAGAAAACTTAAAGTTAAAATAAATACTTTCTTCATTATTCCTAAAGTAATTTGTTTCCTTTCCTCTTTTTAAAATAGAGCACATCTGCTATTCTTATAGAAAATATGGATCTTTATATGTTGAATCCTTGCAGCACTAAAATTTGGTGAGTAATAGACAGTTTTAAAGAGTACATTCTGCATATATATGCATATTATGTTAAGCTTTTGCATTAGGGTTAATCATTTAACAAGCATTTATGATTGATTAGTGCTGATACTATGCAAAACTGAGGACAGAATGCCTTCCTTTCCTTTTGAGGAGGTCACAAAAAGAAAAAAGTGACAGACCTGGTTAAACAATTATGAAATGGTATAAAAAGTACTGTTGAAAGGGTGTTATTGAAAGAGTGATGATGTGTAACTGGAAGAGGAGATGAGAGAAGGCTTCCTGGAAGAGGTAATTCCTGAGCTGAACCTTGAAGGATTAATAGGAAGTGGCAGATGAATGAGTCAGAAGTATTCAGGAACTGTAAGAATAAGGGGGTAATGCTGAAAAGGAGTATGTTTCTTCTGGGTGACTGTTAGGTATTACAAGAAGAAAGGTGCCATGAGAGTAGGGGTGGAACATAAGCCTGGAGCATTCATTTATCTATAAGTAGGCCATTCGGTGCTATGTATACCCAACTTAAACATTTTTGAACTTAAAGACCGTGAAGTACAGTATTTGATTTAAGTAAGGAAGTGACATGATCTCACTGGCATTTTAGGAAGGCTTGTCCTCAAAGGGTGGCCTACAGAATGGAATTGTAAGCATGGTTTGGAACCTATTGTCATAACCTGAGTGAGAAATAAGGACTATAATTAAGACATAGGCAAGTTGGATTCAGAGGAGAGGAATATATCTGAAAGAGGTTTATGGCAGTTAAAATTGGCAGCTTTTGGTTGGTATTTGGATGTGAAGAAGAGAGAGGCACCCAGGAAATTTCCTGGAATTTTGGCCTCACTGCTTGGATCTATGATTGTGCCATTAACTAAGTATATAGGAAAAGGAAAAGATATATGGGGGAAATTAATGTGATATACTAACAGTTCTATTAGATTACTTGATTTTATTGCAGAAAGCAGCTGTTTGAAAAAGAACTGAGGAAAACCACCATCGTGTTGATTCACTAGATTGAATGAATTAATGAATTAATAAAATTTTTTTTAACTTAAGGAGGCACTCTTTAAACCTTAAAAATAATGCTTATTCTTTTCTACTCTTGGCTTTCATTTCTTTTGGAAATGTGCACGTTTAGATTCCACTTGAAAATGAATCATACTACTTAAGGGGAGGGGGAGTAAGGGATGGATTTTGAAAACTTAATTTTTCCTTATGCCATTCAATTTGTAAATTGAATTGAAGAAATGATTATTTGAGATCATAATCTAAATATTTTGAGGTTTTTGTTTTTATTTGTAAAAGCCTCTATTGTCAGTGACAAATTTTTATGCTCAAAAATTTTGTATTTCAAGCAAAGCCATGCTGGGATGAAGTCATATGAAGCAGTCATTTTTTTATTATGGTTTGCAGAATGAGTGATCATAGCTACCCATTTGTATTTTAATGTTTCTGCCAGACAGCATGTATGGTATATGTCATATAATGACACATTTCAGTCAACGATGGACTGCATGTATGAAGGTAGTCCCGTAGGTTATAATACCGTATTTTTACTATGCCTTTTCTATGTTTAGACATACAAATACTTAACATTGTGTTACAGTTGCCCACAATATTTAATACAGCAACATGCTCTACAAGTATGTAGCCTAGGAGCAATAGTTGTATAGCCTAGATGTATAAATAAGCTATACCATCTAGGTTTGTGTGAGTACACTCTGTGATTGTGACAAAACACCTACTGATGCATTTCTCAGATGTATCCCTGTTAAGTGACACATGATTATATTTATGTTTGTAGGTATGTATTTATATATTACTTTTTGCACATTTATGTATGTGTCTTTTCATTGTGTGATTCAAGAGCCTCAGAACATCTTTAACTGATTTCACCTGGTTTAAGTAGATTCCCCCCCCACCCAACCCCATCTAAGGGAACAGTAAGACCATACTCTCTAACAATAGCTTTATAAGTCTTAACATCTGAAAGAGTGAATTTGTATACCTCATCCTCTTCAAAGTGTCTTCACTGTTATTGCCCCATTGTTTTTTCTTTTAAATTTTAGAATTATCTTAAGTGCTATAAAAAATGCTGACATTTCCATTGGAATTTTATCAACTCTGTAGATGAATTTTGGGTTAAGTGACGTTTTAGAATACCGAGTCTTCCTATTCTTTCATGTTTTGATTTGATATTTATTGAGTACCTGTTATGCCGCTGATACTAGAAAAACATTTTTTCACAACATAAACTGAGATCTCTGTTGCCATGGCACTTGTATCCTAGAGAGGTGTCAGTCCCTGATCACTAATGAGATTGAGCATATCTTCATGTGTTTGCCATTCAGTTTTTCCTCTCATGTGCAGTCTATCTTTTCCTCTGTTTTCTGTTGATTTATGTGTTTGATTTTTCTTATTGTTTAGTAGAAGTCTAGATAGACTTGGCATTTTGTCTTATAGAATGGGCACAACTTAGTCTATTTTGTAGAACTCTGGATAGGACATATAAGTTGTGTATGTTACACTTATCTTCCTTCTCTGGTTTATGGACTGTCCTTTTAATTTCTTTATAGTAGCCCCCCCCCCCCGCCTTTTTTTTTTTGAAACAGAGTCTCACTCTTTTGCCCAAGCTGGAGTGCAGTGCCATGGTCTCCCAGGAGCGTGCCACCACATCCAGCTAATTTATTTTTTAACTTTTTGCAGAGACAGGGTCTTGCCATGTTGCCCAGGCTAGTCTTGAACACCGAGCTTCAAGCGATCCTTTCACCTCAGCCTCCAAAGCCCTGGTATTACAGATGTGAGTCACTGCACGTGGCTTATAGTGTCTTTTGAGGAAACGAACTATTTTAATTTTCACATAGTTGAATTTATCTATCTTACAATGTTGGGATTTTCTGTTTTTAATGTCAGAGATTTCTCCCTGCCCTGAGGTTATAAAGATATTATTTCATGTATTTCCTAGAATTTAAAAACTTTGCACTTTATATTAGGTTTTTATTCTCCTGAAATTGTTTATAGTTTTATATTATTTATGGTATACAGGAAGGGTTCATTCCTTCTCCCCATTTTTTCTGTTTAGATAGTTGTTTATTCAGTAGAGTACATGCTCCCCTCTGATTTCGAATGCAACCTTTATTGTTAAGTTCCCTTATATACATTTTGTTTTTTTGTATTCTCTGTTCTCTTTCATTGGTCAATTTACCATTACCTGCAATGACACCACTTAGCTTTGTAGCTCTTAATATTTGATAAGGCAAGTTTTGTACTTCAGGACTCACTCGGCTATTCTTCTGCTTCTGGTTTTTCTTATAAATGTTAGACTGTTGGCCAGGCGCGGTGACTCACACTTGTAATCCCAGAACTTTGAGAGGCTGAGGTGGGTGGATCACCTGAGGTCAGGAGTTTGAGACCAGCCTGGCCAACATGACGAAACCCCATCTCTACTAAAAATACAAAAAATTAGCTGGGTGTGGTGGCAGTCACCTGTAATCCCAGCTACTCGGGAGGCTGAGGCAGGAGAATTGCTTGAACTCAGGAGGTGGAGGTTTCAGTGAGTTGAGATTGCGCCATTGCACTCCAGCCTGGGCATCAAGAGTGAAACTCCGTCTAAAAAAAAAAAAAATCAGTAAAAAAATAAATCTTAGACTTTCCCTTTTGAATTCCTTGAATGTCATATGGGAATTTTGTTTGGAATTTTATTGGATCTTTAAATGACTTTCAGATACTGAGGTTTTGTATCCATAAGCAGGGCATATCTTTCTTTATTGTCTTTAATGTCTTTCAATAAAGTTATTTTTTAAAAAATTTCCGTGAAAGCATTACATATCTTTGGTTAATTTTCTTCCCGGGCAGCTTTTTAAAAAATTTTGTTTTGTTACTATTGTAAATGATATCTCTTTAAAATTACATTTTGTTGTATACAATTATGCAGTTTTTACATATGGATCTTATATCGGACTACCTTCTTATATTGCCTTATTTTCTAGTAATTAATATGCAGATTCTTCGGTGGTTTCTATGGAGAATTAGACCTTCTCTACCAATTTTTTTTCCATTAGAAAGTTTCTGATCCTTTTTATTACATGTTACTTTCGTAATTTTTTTTTGAGACAGAGTCTTGCTCTGTTGCCCAGGCTGGAGTGCAGTGGCACAGTCTCAGCTCACTGCAGCTTCCACCTCCTGTGTTTAAGCGATTCTCCTGCCTCAGCCTCCCAAGTAGCTTGGATTACAGGCACCCGCCTCCACGCCTGGCTAATTTTTGCATTTTTAGTAGAGATGGGGTTTCACCATGTTGGCCAGGCTGGTCTTGAACTCCGCACCTCAAGTAGTCTGCCTGCCTCAACTTCCCAAAGTAATGGGATTACAGGCGTGAGCCACTGCAGCCAGCCAATACATTTTACTTTTTTAGTCATAACATGCTGGCTACATAGACCCTTGAGAACTAATAAACATGACTGAGCTTAGGATACAGTCTCTGATGGACGGCTATATGCTCAGCTACATCCTGGGGAAAAATGTGAAGTAGTCAATTAGTGTTTATTGATTTATTCTATGAAATGGTGATAATATCCCTTGCAATTTGGTTGTAAGAATTAAATCAAAGGATGGGTAAAAATCATAAAACATGGTATCTGATCCAGAGTAAGCATTCAGCAGGTGTTAGTTTCCTCTCTTCATGAGCCTTTCTCTGAAACCTGATTTTGTTTTTTAACCATCTCCTGGGACTTAAGTCTGTTGCTCTCCAAGATTAAACACTATCTTAATTATAATGCTTTTGATTTATTTAGCATTTAATTGTCTTTCTATAAATCTCCTTTGATAATTTATCAAAGCAGTGATTAGAGTGTTAGATGTCATGGGTATTTATTTTCCCCCAATGCTGTGCTATATTCAATTTTATGCACATGGAACCATACTTTTAATTTTTTCCTAAGCAGCAGTATTTTTGACATCTTTGCATGTTAATAAATGTAAATCATAGCATCATTTTAAAAAAAAGAGCTTTATTGAGGTATAGTTGACATACAGTAAATTGCATGTACAATAAACTACATGTCAAAGTGTATAATTTGGTAAGTTTTGACATTTATGTATCTGAAATCATCACCACCATAAAGATAACAAACATCCATCATTCCCAAAAGTTTCATCATACCTCTTTGTAATTTCTCACAAACTCTCTTCTCCCACAGCAATTACAGATCTGCTTTCTGTTACTGTAAATTAGTTTACAGTCTCTAGATTTTTATGTAAATGAAATAATAGGTTTTAGTACCAGTTTTAATGGCTGCTTAGTATTTCATTGTCTGGATGAACCATAATTTGTTAATTCTTTTTGCTAAATATTTAAGTTGATTTCCTCCCCCCCCCCCCCCCCGCTTATAGACTGGTGTGCTTCAATATAGCAAAATATATATACAAAGGTGGACATCTGAAGCTTTGAATCCTTAAGATAAATTTCTGAGAACTAAATCGAAGACTATGATAACTTTTTAAGGCAATGTATATGCCAAACTGTCCTCCAGACTAGTCATTTTACACCATCACTGTCTGTTTTTAGGAAAGTCATCCCTTCTCCAAGAATGAGTGTTATCTAAAAAAAGAATCTTTTAAAAACGATGGTGGAGCAAAATCAATATTGTTTTATTTACAGGTTTTTTTTTTTTTTTTTAGCCACACTAATGATATCCTTGGGAAGTATTTAAAGATGTTTCGTATAGACAACTCAGGCTACATACCCTCCTTAACATTTTAATGAACAACTTTTCATGGTAGTCTAATTTATGGAAACTGTTAATGTCATATTTAAAATGAACTGTTGATTGGTTTAAGTAATTGTCTTTTGTTCTTTTTGAAGGTTTGTTATTGAACTTTGTGAACCAATTCAAGTAAAGCAGCTTGATATTGCAAATTATGAATTATTTTCTTCTACTCCTAAAGATTTTCTGGTTTCTATCAGTGACAGGTAAATTCTAAAGCTGTGTCTGTAGGGTCTATGTTGGATCTCTGAAATAAAACAAAAAAGTGGGTCACTATTTTGACTTCAGTCCATTTATTTTTTAAAGGTCAGTTTGTAATAGCGATAATACGACTGCATTGTAGGCTCTTGTTAATCACTTACCTTTCACTTTGATTAGCTCATATGATGCTTTAAACATAACCATATGATACTATACTCTTATAGTGTGGGGAAACAGAAAAGGGGAGATTAAGTAGCTTGCCCAGGTCACATGACTTGTGAGTTTGAGAACCAAGATTCAGAACTACAACTCTTGACTTCAAAGTCCTCACTTTCAGTCATTATGCTCTCTTGCTTCTAAACATTTCTTTTAAAAGTTATTAAAAACATACATGTATAGGTGCTTTATTTTATATTATGAGGTATATTTTTATTAAAATATATTCTAAAACTTTTTTTATACATGTGTGATTATAAAAGAAATAAACATGTTGTGAGGAATTTAGACTAGAACTGCATTTTGTCAACCAGAGATAGCCCTTATTAGCATTTTAATATATTTCTTCCAGTCTTTACTATGTACTTATTTATTAATTCTATAAAAATATTTACTTTTTACATCCTGGAAATACTCTCATCTTTTACACATATCTTTTTTAATGTGTACATGTTATTTTTCGTTCAACAGAGGTGTTACATCATTTCATAAATACTTTTTGAGTGTCCACGATATGCCATGTAGGATGCTGTTTATTTAGGGCACTTTTGTCATTGATCATTAAGGGTTTTCCTTGATGTTTCTTCCTTCACCTCACATTCAGCATTGCATATATACAGTTTTTGAAATTAGTTCTCAAGACCTCTGGAGAATTCTGTCTGTTATCCTGCCACTACCCTTGCTCAGATCACTTCCTTTTCTCTCAGCTGCAATTTTCTTATATGTCAAATGAACATACACAGCTCTGATAAGTAAAGTGTATTTTTTTTTAATATAGTGAGAGGGCTCATTATTTTGAGGAGTTCTTATAATGTTTCAGTAAACAGATACAATAGTTTTAGACTTTTATATTAGATATTAAATTCCCCTTTAAAGGGAAACAGATACATCAAACTCAGATGTGATTTTAAAAGTTTTTTCTTCCCCTTCTCTTTCCATCAGTACTTGTATTTATACTTTACATTATTACACACATGTCAGTATGTAAAGAGTTGTGCCACCTTCTTCCAAGACAGTCTCTTGGTGACTTTCTGTTCTAAAACCTCCTCCCAAACCCCAAGAAGTGGCACTAGTCTTACCTTTTAGTAATGGAGTGATTTTTCAAGGCATTCTTTCCTCGTAAAGAGAAACCTGTCAGTTTAGTTGGAAAAGAAAATGTATTTATTAAATGTATGTATTTATGTATTAAGCTGTTAAGCCAGCATGTTCACCTGGAAAGGAAAAAAATTGTATTTTGAAAATATGATGGAACCTCTCAATGTGTGGTTTATAATTTTTAAAAAACATATTTTTTATATTTTGTAGATATCCAACAAATAAGTGGATTAAGCTGGGTACTTTTCATGGTAGAGATGAGCGGAATGTACAGAGTTTCCCTTTAGATGAACAGATGTATGCAAAATATGTCAAGGTAATGTTTACACATACAGGACTATGTTCTATATTGAAAATATATGTGTTATTCACACTTCATACATCTCATCTTTTTAGAAATCAGAAAAATTAAGAAATAGACTATACTATACCACTTAATAGATAGTTCTTACTTGGGTATATTATTTCATGAGTGAAATATTGCTATATTCCCTTTTGTATTGCTGGAAGCCTACGCCAGCTTTTTGTTATTTATGGCTCTGATAAAATTCCAGATTATAACTATTTAAGTCTTTTGAGTCTTTATGCAAAATGTCATCTTCATAGTATATTTCTTTCTATTTTGAAACTGAAATCATTGCTGGTAAGTGAAGTCTTTAAAGCAGGTGTAATTTCTTATTAGACTCTGATTCTTAGATCATTTCATCTTTAATGTCCACTTAACTTGGCATTGTTACAGCTTTTGTCTTTTTCGTTGTATAGCCAAATGAAATATTCTGTGTCCAAGTACCAGTTTCAAATAAAACAGACTTTTAAACACTGATGTTCTGTATTTCCACTGCTGCTTCTACCAGCTAATCAAGTAAAACTACCACTTTTGAATTGGGTTAGACAAAATAGGGAAAGTTCTTACTCCTTCCTTCCCTCTTTTTTTTTTCTTTAAAATTATAGCCATATCTTAAAGTACTATTGATTTAATATTATGACATTTTTGGAATGGCCGCAGTTCTAATTTCTGTCCTTCTTTAAATGTGAGAACTTACAGCTACCTAATTTTGTCTTCTGTGATTTTACCATCTCTTTTTAAAGCATGTTTTAAATCGACTTCTGTTAATAGGTAAACTTGTAGTATTCTTAATCTCATTATAAAAATGCTAAATTCTATTTTTAAAATACAGTTGATATTCTCAGTTAATAATTCAATGAAATTATTAATTCAAAAAAATTAAGAATGTTTTCAATTCCTTTTAAAATGGGTGCTGAAACAATTAATGACTTTATACAGTACACTTTCTGCACTGCGAAGAAGCAAAAACGTTAAAAGTCATTTACTAGGTAACAAAATCTTATTTAATTTTGCAAGTAAGATAACTCAAATGAAATAATTTTAGAGAATTATTCTTTGTACCATTTACTTTGTTAATAATGGAAGGATATTTTATTGGAAACATAAAAAAATGCCTTACAAAACTTTCCACTTTCTTCCTTTTGTGGTGGGAGATTATAGAGCATTTTAAATATTAGTTTTATAAAAAACCCTCTTTGGTAGAATTGAGTCTAAAAGCAAGAAACATTTACTTACAACTCATGAAAAGCAGGGAAAAATTACTTTCTGATTTTCGTTTTATGGTAATAATGTTATATAAGTTTTTTACCTGGATTTTCCTTATCCTAAAAGAACTACACCCAAATCTACTACTTTTTAATAGTATACATTTGAAAGACCAATTGATATATATCTTCCACTTCTGTAAGTTGTACTTGAAATAACATAGCATACCAAAAATTCATGCTTTCCCTGAAATAAGTTATATATAATTGTATACAAGTATAAATACCATTTCATAATGGACTGTTATCAATATGTATATGTGTACAATATATATGTATATGTGCATATATATCAATAAATTCATGTATGGATATATACTTGATACATGTCTGTAATACTTAAAGTAAAAGATTGTTTCTAGATACTGTTTATTAATTGCTTTTAGAATGCTTTCTATCTAACAGTTATATAAAATAACAGCAATGGCTTGCAGATCATTTAACTTATAACCTTAAAGTTAATTTATTTCATTGCAGTCATTTAGATTATACTCTCAGGTTGTGATGGCAAAAATTTAAATCATTGCTTTTATTTAAGGAATTAAGAATACTACAGTGTTATCCATCACATGACATTGCTTTCTATACTTTATACAACATAATTTACAAGTATTTAAAGTTGCTTATTGCATGATGTCTAGACTTTGGAACTGATTTCTTTTTCTTTTCCTTTCTCTTGCTTCAGATGTTCATCAAGTACATAAAGGTTAGCAACCTTCTCTTTTGCACTATTAAATAACAGGACATGGCCTATTAATGCATTACAAAAACTTTACAATTATTGATTTTGGGGAAAATGAGGACTTTATAGAAATGTTTAGAAATGTTATAATGAAGAAAGTGAGTATATTGTTAGATGTTCTTACATGCTGTCTGCTGGCTTCCCATTTTATGTGCTTTTATTCTTTAGGTTGAGTTGGTATCACATTTTGGATCAGAGCACTTTTGTCCATTAAGCCTTATAAGGTAATGCAGAACAAAATACATTTATTGAGTGCTTTTAAAAAAATTGATAAAATTTTTGATATATTTAAATTGAAGAAATAATTTTCTCTTATGTTAGTTAATACTATGGAAATGAAAACTGAAACTTTCTTTCTTTTGAATGCATTTTGGAAAAATGTCAAAATACCCTCTTTAAAAATTAACCTCATTTTGTATATTTGTTTTAACTTGCTTGCTATTTTGCTATGATGATATTACACAGAAACATTTTAGACTGATATAAAAACTCATCCATTATATTTCTAAATGCCTTAAATAGATTAGTGTTACATTTTAATTGAAACCGTAGATGACTAAAATGTAAGGAACAGCCATTATTTTTAAGTCCAAAAGCCAGTGGCCCTCAAAATATGACCAAAGTTGATGTTTGTCATATTGTGAAGAGATTAGTCTTAATGAGTGTTTTGTTTTGGAAGTCTTTAATGAAATTGTTGTTTATATAGGGTATTTGGCACTAGCATGGTGGAAGAATATGAAGAAATTGCTGATTCCCAGTATCACTCAGAACGCCAGGAACTATTTGATGAGGACTATGGTAAGTGACATCAAACAGATGACTGTTAGGTATATTTTTTTTTACTTTTTAAAAATTGAATAGTAATGGGGGAGTATAGATTACTTAAATCAATATGACTGTTGTCTTCAGGCTTTTGTTTTGTTGCTTTTAACTCTAATCAACTTTTACTTAAATCTGTTTTCTAATATGATTGCCTTGTAATCGTATTGCTTTCCAAGTTTATCAGTTATTTGTAACTGAAACTCCCTTCTATAATATTAATAGTATAAATTATGATTATATCCCTATGCCAGGGCCAAAAATCTGTTAAACTCACAAGATACTGAAATAGTAGAAATGAGCTTTAATTCCTTTGATTTCCCATGAGCCTAAGAGCAAGCACATTTTGGCCTCCTGTGAGCCATTGAGAAATCATGTGACTCTACAGAGGTGGAGGAAAGTTTTATGACATTCTCCATTTCCAATTTAAGTCCTTGTTTTAAGATGTCTATACTATTGTTTGAACAATCTAAATTTTCTCAAGCGTGAAATGAAGACATTGACTAAGAGTTGGTAAAGTATATTGAAAACTTGAATAAAAAAGTCTTATAAATGTGGTTAAAATTCTGGTAAGCATTACAGTTATTTTCCTTGGTTTATATTTGTTTGTTAAATGGTTTCTTAATCTTATGTGCTTTTTGTGAACATGTTTTAGATATTTGATTCATATTTATTATAAAATGTTTTAAATGTTAGCTGACTTTGACAGGACAATAATTTGAGCTTTTAAATATGTTACCATTGGAGCTAGATCTCAGCATAATTACTTTTGTTTTCTTTTTAAACAGATTATCCACTGGATTATAATACTGGAGAGGATAAATCCTCAAAAAATCTTCTTGGTTCTGCTACAAGTGAGTATTTTGAGGATTTTCTCTTCAGTCTACTAAAGCATTTCTCAACTTTTTCATTCTGATACACATGGACATTTTGTCATGGTATGGTTGAGGAGACTTCTCCCAGTATTGAACTTTGAGTTGAAATAAAAGATACTGTCTTTTGAAAAGTATTTTTATAGAAATGTGATAAGAAAAATATATGAAAAGAAAGAGGAGAGAGACAAAAGCAAGCATAATAAAGGTGTTTCTTCTACTCTAATTAGGCACTCACATTTTGGGGCAAATTCCTTATAGTGAAGAAAGGGCTGTGGATTTTCTTGGGGGAAGAATTATTAAAACAGCCATACAACAGTTAATCTATAAATATGGTTAGTTTGCCATTTAGTTACAAAATATAAAGGGTGCTCCTACCATGATAATAATGAATACCAATAAGAATACTAGTAATAATATACTCTTTGTACACTAAGAAGCAGTGAATAAGATATACTAGTGGTTTAGTTTGTTGTTATTCCAAAATATAATCCCAGCCTAGTGGTAGGCTCACTAAGGAGACTACTGAAAAGACCATTACCCAACTGGCACTTTATTTTTCATGGTTAGATTCTGTGTAGGTATATTTCAATGATGTTTTTGATTATTTCTGAAAAATGTAAAATTAACTAGAAGTAGTTTTCTTTTTATTTGAAAATTATTAATTTAATAAAAACAAATCTTGGTAAAATAGAAGACGAGTTGCTTGTGCTTGTCACTTTTTGCTCTTAGTGAATTGAATTACTTGAATTCCAATGTCAGTGTGAACATTGACTTTATAACTTTTTTAGATATTCAACCAGTAATCTAAATACTTAAGTTGATATTTTGTGTAGCCACAGTATATAGAGTTAAAATCACCTCTTTCATCTCTCTTTTTAGCCTTTTCTTTCTTTCTTGCCTCCTTCCCCCTCCATAGAAGAGTGAAGATTTCAGTGGACTTTCTAGGGAATGGGAAAAAGAGTGTTAAAAATACCTGTAGAAGGAAAATCTTTCGTGATTGCAAAGTAATATTCAACTTTGTTACATATCAGTTCAGTATATTTTGTTTTACTTTATTGCTAGGCTTCTGACTTTCTAGATATTAGTGATTACATTTAAATAGGATTCCTAGCTATCCAGTTATTGATGTAAAAGTAAGTCTCATTCACTGCTATGTGATGTAATTTTTTAGGAGTAAAAGAAATGTCTTATCTGTCTGGATATTAATGTTTTTGTTTCCCTTAATTTGCATTCTGTATGTTACATAGTAGTCATTATTCTGTCATTTATGTAGCTCAGTAAGTTGAATTAGCTATTTTCTGGGGTCAGAAAATAGCCCCGGACTAAAAGATCTCTAGCTTCTGGTGGTTACTGGAAAAGAGAGGACACCTTAAGGAAATAATGTCTTACTGTAGTTTCAGATAAAGGAAAGGTGTGTTGACATTCTGGATTTTCTTGCTGTATCTTCCCATGTGGTTAACTTCTAGACGCCGTTAAAACCTAACCATAGGTCAGGCGCAGTGGCTTATGCTTGTAATGCCAGTACTTTGGGAGCCTGAGATGTGCGGATCACCTGAGGTCAGGAGTTTGAGACCAGCCTGGCCAACTTGGTGAAACCCCGTCTCTACTAGAAATGTAAAAATTAGCCAAGCATGGTGGCATGCGCCTGTAATCCTAGCTACTCGGGAGGCTGAGGCAAGAGAATTGCTTGAACCCAGGAGGCGAAGGTTGCAGTGAGTTGAGATTGCACCACTGCACTCCAGCCTGGGAGACAGAGTGAGACTCTGTCTCAAAAAAAACCAAAAAAACAAACAAAAAACCAGTCATATATCAGGGGAAGACATTTCCCTGTTTCTATTCATGTCTTTGATCAGTATATCAATTAATTAGAGATAGAATCTTGTTTAGATACTTCTGTTTGGATCTTTCTCCTTGAAGGTATATCAGTTAATTTTCCTTTTACAGAACTCTGGGAGGGCAAGATTATCTTCCAGTGTCCTAGGTATTGAAAGAATTTATACAGAGAAATAAGAAGGGTGGGAGGATGTCAGCTGAGTCTCTAAAATGAGATTTAAAATGATCTCCACCTCCTGAAGTTTTAGAACAAGAGAGGCAGTAAGAGCTGAGTGATAAGACTTTATTGTTACAAAACTTTATAGACATGGCCTAACACTGCCGCCTTCTGTATCTGTGTCCTTCTACTCTTCTCTGAAGAGTTTGGGACTGAATTAGCTATAGCCTCCAAGGTGGTATAACTTGAAGAAGTAAATAATAAAGTGGAATCAGAACTTAAGTAGTTCTGATTCAAAGAACTGGTCTTTGGCACAAGGATGTCTGAGTTTGACTGTAATCATCACTGCTTTCTAAATTAGCTTGAAATTAGCCCATTTTGAAAGTAGTTTTTTTTCTTGTTTTTAATGTGTACATAGTATCCACAAGCTAGAATTCTTTGTTTTTAATCTTAATAGAAACTCCTTTTTCTTTTTGCTATCAAGTAGTTAGTAGTTATAGGAAATATGTCACCGGAATACTTTGCCACTGCTGAGAGTTGGATATCAAAGAGCATGCACACTGCATATTTAAACATTCTTGATATTATATAATTTCTTAACTGCTAAAAAGGGAGAAGCTGTTATCTTAGAGCAGCATTCTTGGCTTTGTGTGTATGCTTTCCTGATTCTTTGTTTATATTCTTGAACTAAAACATTTAAATCTTTCACATCAACAAGATTTCTCCATATCACTCTTGATTTTCTTGTTCTTTGTCATGTGAATTTGCCAGACCTCTGCCTGCTTTGATATTGGCGCAGGTCTGCCTTTGCTCTTAAATAATGTGTTTTTTGTTTCTGTTAAAATCACTGTATCTGCTAAAGGGAGATAGGTGCATGTGTATGTTTAAGGGAAAATGTAGTTTTTACTTTTTAAGTCAAAGTGTTTTATTTTTGTGGAAAAAATGTAGATGCTAGAAGGACCATTTTCCTAGAAAATGTGGGCATGCTTCATAGGTAGTACACATAGGAAGAAGTCTTTTTTTGTTGATTTATCTTCTGTTGTATCATATAAACTCTTCAACTTCAGCAGCCTGGACAAATGTTTGTTTTATTTATCAAAAAGAGCCATTGGAGCACTGAAGACTGAGTAAATAATATGGAGATATTTGATCTTTAGGACCAAATATTAGGAGCATTTTATTCCTAAAGGAATGAGGTGGGATGAATAAGTTGCCCAATTCAAAAATTTAAAAGTTGATAAATCCAGGAGAAATTAGGGACTTTTATCTCTAGTTTGGCAATTATATTCAAAGATGTTATTTTAGTCTATTCTGAAGGTTTTTAATGGCCAGATAATCATGACGTATACAGACTATCATGTGTTTGTATACAAATTGAACATAGAATAGAATATTCACAATTCTACTTTCTCTCAAAAAAGATACATTAGGCAATGTTCTGCAAACATGGGGAAATTATTTTAGGTTAAGTGGACTGAGAAGAAATTTGCTGCATTTTACTTTTGTTACCAGGTTTCCTGAAATGATGATAATAAATAATATTTTAAAAGGGTGAATAGAAGAGTCTTCTTTATTGTAGGTACTGGTGTTAAAATTTAGGTTCAGAAATAATACTGTAAAGCTGCTTTCGTTACACGATACATTGTCTTCTTGAATTATTTAATAATGAATGTCAAAAAATTTGAAATCTCAGATAAGATCTCACTTTGAAACACAAAGTATATAAACTGTTGGTTGCACAATTTGAGTTTTGTGAAGCAGTCAGTTTTGACTGTAGGTGGCAGTGTAGGTGGGGGATCATAAATAATATTGCAGTATTGGTTGGCATTATAAAGGGTGTATGAGGAAATAAGTTTCCATTCCAGACTTCATCTTGGTTTGTGAGGGAATATGGAGTTTCCATTTTTGTTATTTCATACTGCAGCATCTCTTTAGCTTAAGTAAGAATCAAGGCCACTTCTGTTTATCAGTTTGCCAGGTCAAAGGACAATATTAAAAATGTTATTTAAGCATTTTAAAATGGCAAATATCGAACCTTTGTGTGTTATACTAATGATTAGAAACAAAGTACCACTACTTTGTTGACTTTCAGAGTATACACTTATAATTTTGTGAAGATCAACATTATAGCTGATTCCTAGCTATCACTTTAAAACAGTTTAAAATCTGCAACTACTTTCTCCCATCCTAAAGCATTGTATTTACAGGATGAGCTCTAGGCAGCACTCTGTGGTTTACTTGCAACCTTCCTAATGTAGTAGATTTTTCTCTCTTAGATCCTTTTCTACTTTTCACATCTCTGGTTTTCATTGAAAAAGTGATGAATACTCTGTGGATCGCTTTTAGGAAAGGAGATTAAGACAGAAATAATGTATGATGATTAATATGTAGCCCCTGCCAGATCTTAGTATTTTAGTAGTAGGAGTACCCGATACCGAAGAATTAAATTCTAGTGGAATTTCAAAAGTTAGATTGGGAATGAAAAGTTAATTTCACTTGAAATTACATCACATTACTAGAAGGAAGGTCTTCTATTCCCAGTACCAGTGTTTTATGGAGTTCTGATATTTTGTTATGCTCATGTATAAATATATCTATGTAGATATTGAGGTTTGTACCACTTTTTCATGTAAATACCCTCCCAAAAGAGAAGTAGGGTTAGCAGGTATGCAGATTGCTTTTTTACAACACTTTGCTTTATGACCTTGACTTTTCATTAATCTGCCCCATCCCTGTCCCCAACCAATTAACTAAAGAATTTGTATGCTTTATGATTTAAAAAGATTGCAGTTTTGGCCAATGAGTTTTTTAAAGTCATCAAAGAGATTTGATTATATGCAATATCAATTTAGAATTTAACCATATTACCATAGATATGATAGGCTAATCATTGAAAATATTTTCTGCTTTTTTCGGATAATCTCTGTTTTGTTTTACCTGTGATAATCACGTAATGTAGGAAAAGCGTTTGCTTTTTTATTTTAAACTGTAGAGAATTTTTAAAGAAAAATAGGTTTTTCCGTAAAATAAGAATTTTGATCATCACATTTTCTCACTGTCCCGGTACAGACTGTATGTTGAGTTATACTTGAATTTATAATATGCTGAAGACAGTGTTTTGGTAAAGTGTCTAGGGTAGTTTTACAAGAAAAGTATATTTAAGGCCAGGCGCAGTGGCTCACAGCTGTAATCCTAGCACTTTGAGAGGCTGAGGTGGGCAGATTTCCTGAGCTCGGGAATTCGAGACCAGCCTGAGCAACACAGTGAAACCCTGTCTCTACTAAAATACAAAATATTAGCTGGGCGTGGTGGCATGTGCCTGTAGTCCCAGCTACTCGGGAGGCTGAGGCAGGGGAATTGCTTGAACCTGGGAGGCAGAGGTTGCAGTGAGTCGAGATTGCTCCATTGTACTCCAGCCTGGGCGACAGAGCGAGACTCCGTCTTCAAAAAGAAAACTGTATTTAAATATAAAATTCCTTTTGAACATAAAAATGTAGATACATGCTTTACACTTTTGGCTAAAATTTATTTGTGTCCTATATTGGACTTTAGTTGTGAGGTGAATACAAGTAACCAGTCAAAAAATGCAAAAGATCATTCTAAATGATTTTTTGACTATCTGATATTAATTTATATTAGAATATTTAGGTATTTGGTATTTTTTCTGATTGAATTTTGTTTTAGATGCCATTCTAAATATGGTGAATATTGCTGCTAATATTCTGGGAGCAAAAACTGAAGACCTGACAGAAGGTACCTAATCATTTTATGGGTCTTTTAAATAGCTGGTACTCCAGGGGTCCTTATGTTTAGGAAAATCAAGTAATGAGTTAAGAAAATTTGATTTTTTACATTTAGAAATATAGAAATAATTCAGAGGAACTTACCAATCTTTATTATTCATTGTTTATTTGAATTTCACACGTTCTTTTTTATAAAAGGATACTGTCTATATAAAACTTATGAATTTGCTTTTTGACTTCTGGATCTAATATTAATAGCAATGATTTTATTCCTTATATCTTTGCTGAGATTTTGATGTCCTAATGGTACTTCAAGTATATTATTCTTTCATGTGTTAAATAGCTACTTGATTTTACAAAGCCATCTTTTCCTTAGAGAGTGGCAAATAAGAATATTATTGGCAAGAAGAAACAGTCTTACCTTTTTGTTTTTTAAAAAATGCTTAGATCCAAGTGAACATTTAAAATGACTCATTTATTTCTTCTCATTCTCTTCAACAACTCTTTCAGTATCTAGAAGGCATATTAATCACATAAGATTACACAACATTCATAGTCATCTGACTTGATTTAATTATCTGAGAAATTGCGAAACAATATATATTACTTGTCGTGATCTTATATGATCATTTCTTCCTAAAAGAACTTTGATTTTTTAAGAAAAGTCTGCAGTAGCAAACCAATTGGCTTTTTTCTTCTCTTCCAAGAAATTTATTTGTTTTAGTAAAATATTTTCATGGTACAGCTTTTAAAATTGAACTCAACATTGGGCATCTTTCTTAAAATAGGAAATAAAAGTATATCTGAGAATGCCACTGCCACAGCTGCACCTAAAATGCCTGAATCAACTCCTGTTTCAACTCCTGTTCCATCTCCTGCGTAAGTTATAATGTGATATTAAATAGAATTTTATTGCAATGCAGGGTTAAGTATATTAGTATAAAAAAAGGAACTTGTGATTTGTGTATGAAATGATTACCTGTAGAGAGCTCTGAATCATAGGATAGACATTCTGTGGCCACTTAGAAAATCTTTGAGTTGCTTCTTCCCATTAGTGTACATGCATATTGGGAATATAATTCAGATCAAACTTTTTTTTTGAGGGGGTATTATATATAACTTTCATTATTCACAACAGTGACTCTTCTCCATATTGCAAATAGTTGACCTTACTCTGCAAGTATAGGCTTGAAGACAAATTTTAAAGACCCCCCTTTTTTTTTTATTAAGTTGAAGTTTAAAAGCATTGATCTGTGGTATCCCTAGAAACTACCAAAATACATAGAGCAGTGGTTCTTGAATAATGTGTTGGCCACACAGCAAGCTCTTAACTGTTTCATTTCTCTGAATCATGTAGGCCTTTCCCCAGGTTGCAGTGGGGACACTTTGGGCAGGGATATAGCTAAATAGGTAATAGATATAATATATACTCATTTTTTGTCTTTTCTGCCAGAGGTGGTTACTTTTTTGGTACCTCTACTTCTTATCTATAATAAATAATAAGCTTATAATGATTTGGATAATCAGGTAGTTATTGTAGACTTAATTTATATATATTTCATTAGATACACTCCCTACACAACTTTGCAAGTCCTTTATCTTAGAACAACTCTACTTAAGAGTATAAGATATTTGAATATGAACCGCTTAGTTCAAGATAGTATGTAATGAGACCTGCAGTGGGTATGCTTTGAACTGCAATTCCTGAGAACTATACTCTTTCAAAAATGAGATTTTGATGCTTTGAAAGGCGTAGTGAGAAAATTATATTATCCTGTGTTAATCCTGAAAATTACTGGAGATATTTATTGGGTGATTAGAGAGAAAATATAGCATATGTGTTATTGATTCCTAAAAGGACCTAAGAAATCTGTTGAGGATAGAGACATTCTTGGTGTTTCTAATTATGTGGAGCTGTGATTGCTGTTCCTGATTTGGTAACTAGGTTTCCTCAGTTAACAACACACTATGTCATATTTTTCAAAACGAAATAAAACTACTTTGGTTATATATATATGTATACATTTTAATACACATACATATATGCACAAGTAGATAGGAATATTTGTTGAAAGCTATAGTCACAGGCCAATGTAGCAGTTTTTATTTTTCCATATTTTTAATAGATAATCTTTCCATAATTTTTTATTCAATATTTCTTCATGTTTGTCTTAAATTCTTTTTAATGCTTTTGAAGCAATCTTTTGAAGCAAATGCATGAAAATGAAGGAATCCATGATAGGATGTCACTGTTAAAGTTATGGAAAGCCAACTTATTTTCTTTTCCTAGGTTTTAGTAAGATTTGCCATGTGAATTTGAGAAAAAAATTTTAAAGTATATTTCTAATTACAGTGTATAATGATGGTATATAACATCTATATTCAGTATTTTTTACCAAATTCAATTTAATTTTTCTCTCCCCTTCTTCAAACATTACTACTTTTTACTGTCATAAATTATTTGGTAGAAAAGCAATATATTACTTGAATATGTAAGAAATATTATTAGAGACTAAATATATATTGCTATAAATATCCCAAAGTGTAGTCTAATTATGTTTTAATTTGGTCCATTTACTGTTTTACTGCCAAAATGAAAGTCTACCTCATAGATACTGTCTATTTTATTACTTTCTTCTGTCTTTGCTATTGTGACATTCGTGTTTATTTGAAGACATTTCCTGGCATGCTTAGTAATTTTTCAGAATGGGAAAATGTGTGTTTGAGCATAATTATTTTTGGTATTTAAATTACCATATTTTTTCATATTGGACCTTTTGTGTATAAGGCTACACCCAGTAATTAACTATCTTTATCTTGGAAGGAATCACAGGCATTATAATTTATAACACTGTCCCCATAAGCTTCATCCCCCCACTCTCCTGTATGCCACATACATACTCCACAGCCTCAAAATGGGATAGAATATTAATAGTGGTGCTAGTAGTTTAATAGCAGCACTATTAGCATATCATAAGCCAGAATTATTATTAAAGTGGTTAAGTATTTGGCTTTTAATAATAGAAGATTAGCCTAGATGATAGCAAAATTATTTTAAGGAGGGAGATATGTTTCTTGTCCTTAAAGCAGATAATCCTATGTGTGTAGGGGTGTGTGTGTGTGTGTGTGTGTGTGTGTGTGTGTTTAATGCTGCATTGGAGTTCCTCAAATCATTCTTAGAAAAATTATGTTTGAGAAATCTAGCTGCCTTTTGAAAATACGATATTCAAGTACAAAGTGCACTCATAAGTATTAAGAATCCTAGATTTTAGTTCTAGCTCTGGACCTTGTTTAAACTAGCTTATTAAGCTAGCTCTTAGTTGACTTACTTTCTGATGTATGAGAGATAGTGAAGCTTGTAAAGATTCAGTGAATATTTGTGAGAGGAAAGGTACACTATACATTCAGTGAATGGAAGTATTCACTTAGAAACAATTCTTAAACAGATTAAAAGAAAGCAAGTTTGATATGGTAAATATGGTAGTTTGAGTCGTCTGGCTAGTCACTTGATTGTAGTATATCTATTATTTCTGAGCAGTATTTGTTTTTATAATAAAAATGTTTTGAAGGTGGAAAATTTATCCAAAAACAACTTATATTTCTTCTGTATTTCCAACCTTTAGTCTTATGTATGGATACATTTATTTTTCTTAAACATATTTCAACTTTAGACTTCTAAGTAAGTGATTTATAATTATGTATGTATTTCTAGGTATGTAACCACTGAAGTAGACACAAATGACATGGAGCTGTCAACACCAGATACTCCAAAAGAGAGTCCCATTGTACAATTAGTTCAAGAGGAGGAAGAGGAGGCAAGTCCATCTACAGTGACCCTTCTGGGCAGCGGTGAACAGGAAGATGAATCATCACCCTGGTTTGAGTCAGAGACACAAATATTTTGCAGTGAACTGACCACAATTTGTTGTATTTCTAGTTTTTCGGAATACATATATAAATGGTGTTCAGTTAGAGTTGCTCTTTATTGGCAGCGCAGCAGAACTGCTTTGAGTAAAGGAAAAGATTATCTTGTGTCAGCTCAACCACCCTTACTACCTGCAGAATCAGTAGATATTTCGGTATTGCAACCTCTGAGTGGAGAATTGGAAAATAAGAATATAGAAAGGGAAGCTGAAACTGTTGTTGTTGGTGATTTAAGTAGTAGTATGCACCAAGATGACTTGGTGAATCACACTGTAGATGCAGTTGAACTTGAACCAAGCCATTCTCAAACTCTTTCTCAGTCTCTTCTTTTAGATATTACCCCAGAAATCAATCCCTTACCTAAAATAGAAGTATCTGAATCTGTTGAATATGAGGCAGGACATATACCGTCACAAGTGATTCCCCAAGAGAGTTCTGTTGAGATTGATAATGAAGCAGAACAGAAGTCTGAGAGCTTTAGTTCTATTGAGAAACCATCTGTTACCTATGAAACAAATAAAGTTAATGAGGTAGTGGATAATATTATAAAAGAAGATGTGAACTCCATGCAAATTTTCACAAAGCTGTCTGAAACAATAGTGCCACCAATAAATACAGCCACTGTACCCGACAATGAAGATGGGGAAGCCAAAATGAATGTAGCTGACACAGCAAAGCAAACTTTGATTTCTGTTGTGGATTCTTCTTCATTACCTGAAGTAAAAGAAGAAGAACAGTCTCCAGAAGATGCCCTTTTGAGAGGGTTACAGAGGACAGCTACAGATTTTTATGCTGAATTGCAAAATTCTACAGATCTAGGATATGCTAATGGAAATCTTGTACATGGATCAAACCAAAAGGAGTCAGTATTTATGAGACTTAATAATCGTATTAAAGCCTTAGAAGTTAACATGTCTCTCAGTGGTCGCTATCTGGAGGAGCTTAGCCAAAGGTAAGCTTTATTATGAATTAGCACAGTCAGCTTCACACAGTGAGTTAAGTAGCGTAGAGTATGTATGACCTGTGATTACAGAAGGAGAGGATTTAATTATCTCATGGTGTAATAGAAGTAAGCACAATTTTAGTGAGAGAGAAAGAAAGCTACTTGAATGCTGATCAGTGACTTAATGAATTTTTTGTTTTTAATTTTAAAAGTACTTCCCAGTGACAAGACCACTTTTATTATTAGGCTGACAACAAGTTTGAATTATCTATACTCACTTTCACCTTTTTTCTGTTACTTAACTTTAGCCACTTTTTCTGCCTGATTCCCAGAGAGCTCGTGGAAAAAATGATAGTATATAGAGACTTTAAAGGTTTTAGTGGAATTTAACCAGATATCGCTTAAGAGTTTAGATAAGTGAAGACATGGATGGACTGAACTGGATGACTGGGCACATTTGCAGTTTGCCCTCTTTTAAACAGGTCCCGGCATCCTAGTTCTAGTTGTAATAATTTCTGCTTTTAAGTGCCAGAGAGAGTGCCAGTTCATTAAGACACCAGGCGTGGCTTTTTAAAACTGTTTACTCTTTTTTTATCCTTTGTGTGTTCATTGTCTGTCCTTAGGGCTTCTCTACCAACATTTTACAAACATCTAGGCACAAGTGTCCAGAGTTCCTGAAACACCACCTTTTCTTATACCTCTGAAATTGAAATGCCACTAATAAGGTGTCACCAAGGCAGTCTTATATCTGAAGTAGGAAATTTTTCTAATCCATACATAGAATTAATTGGCTAATTGTGTGTGTGTGTTCATGTGTGACATGCCCACTTAGCTACCCCGTACCTGCTCTTACTTTTTCCTACCTCCATCTTCATCCCAAGGAAACTACAGAAATTACTAAATTTTACATAGCAAGAGATACATAGAATTGTATTGCATAGGCCTGAATAAGAGTCACTTTAAGAAAAATAGGTTTCTCTCATATATCAAAATCAGAAGTATGTTTCCATTACTAAGTGGAATAAATAAGAAATTAAAGCTAATTTAAACCAATTCTTACTCCATAGGTACCGAAAACAAATGGAAGAAATGCAAAAGGCTTTCAATAAAACAATTGTAAAACTTCAGAATACTTCAAGAATAGCAGAGGAGCAGGTTAGTCGTCTTCATCCCTTACTTACTTTTTATATAAATTTCCACTGAATTCTATAGGATCTCACTGGTAAAGGATAAGTATTGTAGTTTCACTTTTTCCCTCTGCTAGCTGGTGTTTAAGCCTGTTATATTAATATGATGTCATGTTTGGAAAGTTACATAGCTATTAGCATCATTGTCTTCTCTAGAGAAAGCTTTCTTATTTATTTATTTTTTTAATTATACTTTTAAGTTCTAGGGTACATGTGCACAACGTGCAAGTTTGTTACATATGTATACATGTGCCATGTTGGTGTGCTGCACACATTAACTCATTATTTACCTTAGGTATATCTCCTGATACTGTCCCTCCCCGCTTTCCCCACCCCACGACAGGCCCCAGTGTGTGATGTTCCCCACCCTGTGTCCAAATGTTCTCATTGTTCAGTTCCCACCTATGAGTGAGAACATGCGGTGTTTGGTTTTCTGTCCTTGTGATAGTTTGCTCAGAATGATGGTTTCCAGCTTTATGCATGTCCCTGCAGAGGACATGAACTCATCCTTTTTTATGACTGCGTAGTACTCCATGTATGCCACGTTTTCTTAATCCAGTCTCATTGGTGGACATTTGGGTTGGTTCCACGTCTTTGCTATTGTGAATAGTGCTGCAATAAACATACGTGTGCATGTGTCTTTATAGCAGCATGATTTATAATCCTTTGGGTATATACCCAGTGATGGGATGGCTAGATCAAATGGTATTTCTAGTTCTAGATCCTTGAGGAATCACCACACTGTCTTCCACAATGGTTGAACTACTTTACACTCCCACCAATGGTGTAAAAGTGTTCCTATTTCTCCACATCCTCTCCAGCACCTGTTGTTTCCTGACTTTTTAATAATCGCCATTCTAACTGGTGTGAGATGGTATCTCATTGTGGTTTTGATTTGCATTTCTCTGATGGCCAGTGATGATGAGCATTTTTTCATTGTGTCTGTTGGCTGCAAAAATGTCTTCTTTTGAGAAGGGTCTGTTCATATCCTTTGCCTACTTTTTGATGGGGTTGTTTGCTTTTTTCTTGTAAATTTAAGTTATTTGTAGGTTCTGGATATTAGCCCTTTGTCAGATGGGTAGATTGTCAAAATTTTCTCCCATTCTGTAGGTTTCCTGTTCACTCTGATGGTAGTTTCTTTTGCTGTGCAGAAGTTCTTTAGTTTAATTAGATCCCATTTATTTTGGCTTTTGTTGCCATTGCTTTTGGTGTTTTAGTCATGAAGTCTTTGCCCATGCCTATGTCCTGAATGGTATTGCCTAGGTTTTCTTCTAGGGATTTTATGGTTTTAGGTCTAACATTTAAGTCTTTAATGCATCTTGAATTAAATTTTGTATAGGGTGTAAGGAAGGGATCCAGTTTCAGCTTTCTACATATGGCTAGCCAGTTTTGCCGCACCATTTATTAGATAGAGAATCCTTTTCCCATTTCTTGTTTTTGTCAGGTTTGTCAAAGATCAGATGGTTGTAGATGTGTGATATTATTTCTGAGGGCTCTGTTCTGTTCCACTGGTTTGTATCTCTGTTTTGGTACCAGTACCATGCTGTTTTGGTTACTGAAGTCAGGTAGTGTGATGTCTCCAGCTTTGTTCTTTTGGCTTAGGATTGTCTTGGCAATGCGGGCTCCTTTTTGGTTCCATAT